TCTTTTAACACTATTAAATTATAATTAACCCGGTATACAACACCACATACTCACCCTATGGCCTAACGAGCACAGTTTTCTGTCATCCTATCAAATTAAAACCATGTGGAAAGGCATTAAGAACTCAGGTACCATTACTCCACCCTCTAGATTACCTATCCACACAGCTTTTCCAGTCAGTTTCCGATCTCACTGATACTGCACCTTTCAAGCCCCACACGGATCACGTCATGAAAAACACCATTTATCTATCTTCCTATGAGTTTCTCGGACCAAAAGAATTTACTACCATAAACGACACTCCCAAACACTACATCTAGAGATCTCACGTCACAAAGATACAAGACCACTATGTGTTATCTCTCAGCCATTCTAAAACTAGCCAAAGGGGACAGTTGTTAAAAATCCTCTGTTACCCTACTGAAAACCAATGGTACCTAGTCAAAATTTAAGATAGTTACCTAACCTCTGTTCAAGGTTCCCATGATCAGCCTCTCCTAGCTTTGCATAGCAATATTCTAAAGACAAGTAAATTCATGCTTTATGTGAGGATATTACTGGTAAGATTAGGTCTTAATTCGACTAATTATTCAGTTCACTCCTTCCGCATCGTTGCTGCCACCACTGCTTACAGCAAGAATATACCAGTACACATTATTAAGACCTTAGGACGGTAGAAGTCCTCCGCTTACTCCAGATACATACCTCAACCTGTTCTGGAAATGCACCGAGCCTTCCGTAATATGAATATGTAATACAAGCATGTCAAGCTTGCGGCACGCGGGCCGCATACGGCTCACAATGAATATATTTGCGTCCCACCTGCGCTGGGGCTGCTTTGGGCTGTGGGTGCGATCAGCTGCAAGACAGGAAAGATCTGACCTGTCTTATACTTGTCTTCCCTGCCACAGCCGTGAGAGGGCAGAGTGGCTGTCTGTCGGCAGAGAAGGCCAGCCACCCCCCCTTCTCTCCTGCTCACAGTGCCAGAGGAGCATCTGGCCTGCTTGAGCAGAGCAGGGCTGGGACTGGAGGATGGGCAGCTAATCTTAATACCTTACTACTGCTCACCTTAATACCTTAAGCTCACCTTAATTCCTTACTACCGCTCACCTTAATACCTTAAGATGAGCTGTCCATCCTCCAGTTCCAGCCCTGCTCTGCTCAAGCAGGCCAGACGCTTCTCTGGCACTGTGAGCAGGAGGGAAGGGGGAGTGTCTGGCCTGCTCACAGTGCCAGATGAGAAGAGGGGCTAGGGGGATTTTTTCTGTGTAGTGTGTTAAATTGGGAAGGGTGAGCAGTGTATTAATTTGGGGGAGGAGGGCAGTGTATTAATATTGGGGAGGGAGCAGTGTATTAATTTGGGGGAGGGAGGCATTATTAGAGTGGTGGTAGGGAGCAGTGTTTTAAATTGGGGGAGGGCTGTGTATTAAAGTGGTGAAAGGTGGGGCAGAGTATTCAAGTGGTGGGAGGGGGCAGTGTATTAAGTTGGTGGAGGGGGCAGTGTGTTAAATTATGGGAAGGGTAGTGTATTAAATTGGGGCAGGGAGAGGGGCAGTGTATTCAATTAGAGTGGAGGGAAGGGGGCAGTGTATTAGATTGGGAGGAGGGGGCAATGTATTAGAGTGGAGGGAGGGGAGACAATGTATTAGATTAAGGGGCAGTGTATTAGATTGGGTGGAGCGGGCAGTGCATAAGGGTGGAGGGAGGGGGGGCAGTGTATTGGATATGGGGGCAGTGTATTGGATTCGGTTGCAATGTATTAGTTCTGTGGGCAGCAGGGCCACCATCAGGGGGTGACAACCATGACGGTTGTCTTGGGCCGGGCGGTCCTGGGGGGCCTGTACTGCTTTTGCAGTCCTGGGCCCCACATTCCCTCTCTGCACATATACATATAGGGATGATCGCTATATATATGTGCAGCCGCGGGCCCCCGGCTCCCTATACTTGCAGAGGGGGCCCAGCAGACTGCAGCTGACTGTTACAGATCTTCCTTCTCTTTAACTCCCGCGAGACCCACAGCCGTCAGAGCTTTGCCACGGGTTACTATGGCAACGTTCCGCGTCGCACGCACGTCACACTCGCGGGAAGTTAGAGCGAGGGAAGAGCTGTAATGTACTGCTGCAGTCTGCTGGGCCCCCTTGGCAAATACAGGGAGTCGGGGGCCCCACTATGCCACCAGACCACCAGGGATGGAATCTCCCCCCTCCCTGAACTAGGTAAGAAGCAGGGAGAGGGGAATAGCTTTTATTACATTAAATGCTCCATTTGCACAACATGCATACACTAGTAAACACACACACACACACACACTCTGCATTCATTACACTAACACACACACTCTGCATTCACTACACTAACACACACTCTGCATTCAATACACTAACACACACACTCTGCGAGTGTGTGTGCAAGTGTGTGAGAGCGGCAGTGTATGTCAGGGTTGCAGTGAGTGTGTTAGGGGGCAGTGTGTGTGTGAGAGAGCTGCAGTGTGTGTGAGCGGCGCAGTGTGTTTGTGAGGGTGGCAGTGTGTGTGAGAGTTGCTGTGTGTGTGTGTTTGCGGCAGTGTGTGTATGGGGGCAGTGTTTGTGGGGCAATGTGTGTATGGGTGTGCAGTGTGTGTATGGGGGGCAGTGTTTGTGGGGCACTGTGTGTATTGGGGGCAGTGTTTG